GGAGGGAATTACAGAGGGAGTGGGAAACATCGATGTGAGAGAGACACATCAACTGGTTGCCTCCTGCTCGTGTCCTACTGGGAAACAAACCTGCAACCCAGGTATGTGCCCCTGACTGGAAATCGAACTCGTGACCCTTTGGTGCGTGGGCCAACACTCTAACCACTGAGACACACCAGCCAGGGCAGAAAGGTGTATATTGAAACAACTCACAATAAGTGCGCATTATCTCCTAAAATGTGGCAGCATTTGAGAGAAATTACATAAATTTGATAATGGAAATTTTTCATTCATTTAGCAAATATTTCATTTCAAAACCATTTACTGACTGGTTTAGAGATATGCTCAAGTTTACAATTTAGCCATTAAGCAGTGTTAGCATACTTTGCAAACTTTTTTTTAATGACCAACCAGAAATTAAGATTATAGAGTGTAACAGCTGAACCCTTCAATAGTGGTACTGACTGTCAATGAGCAAATCAACTGTCTTCTTAAAATTATTTTACTTTATTTGTATTTGATCGAATAATTTCAAAAGCTACTCTTAATTAAGAGCAACATGGCCAAACATAACATTTATACACATATTTCATGTTTCATAATATAAACACTGACTTCTCAAATTCTTGACTGTTTAAAGATGAAAGAGTCATATAAATATATTCATTCTTAATCTGTAAATAAGGTGACAAACCTATTTTCAGGGTACCATGAAAAGGTTCTTGGTATCTTGTGGCCAACAAGGTACTATTTATCTTACCAAGGTAAAGAATATCTAGGTAAGATTCAGTAAATTGTACTGTGGATCAATGTACAAAACAGTGTTTGAGACAAATCGAGGCCTAGCAATCATCCACTGCTTAAAAAGGGATGCTGAGAGCATAAGGATGCTCTCCAATTCCTCTCAATAAAATACTATTGTTGCACTTGTCACATGTTGTATGCATTCAATATAAACTAACTTACTTTATATTTTACTGGTTGCCTATCATTTTATATTCTGTCATTCCAGATCCAAATACAAATGCATCAAAGTCCTGTGATTTTGTCAATCCTTACAATACATGGAAACCTAATTGTCTGTATTGGTTATTTTTAGATATGCCAATGTATTATCTATTGAACTGATAGATGTGTAAAATGTAACAGTGATATTTTTGGAAGCAGTTCAATTAGATATCCCATTGGCAAAAAAAGTGTTCCACAAGATATTCATACAGCCTGGCCGGGCGTGGCTCAGCGGTTGAGCGTCGGCCTAGGATCCTTGGTGATCGGGGTTCTATTCCCGGTCAGGGCACATGCCCGGGTTGCGGGCTACAGCCGATCAATGACTCTCTCATCATTGATGTTTCTACCTCTCTCTCTCCCTCTCCTTTCCTCCCTCTGAAATCAATAAAGATATATTTAAAAAAAAAAAAAAAAGATATTCATACAATTAAGACCTTACTAATTATTTGGAATCTGAAATGACAAGAAGATTTGGCTATCCTTTGGGCAAATTTAGGATACTCTTTTACATCCTCCATGGCAAACAGAAAAAACAAAAATCCCTTTTTATTCACTGTTTAAACAAGCTTTTTCTTGGATTGTCATATCTCACTGTTTATATTTAAATATATGTGTTTAATGAATTATTTTTTCTTTTCCATTTGCCTCTAATTCAAGAGTTCTATTTTGTAGTACGTACAAACGTGTCTATAGGCCAATATTCTGCTCTGGTGAAAAAAAAACCAACATACATAATAAAGGTCCTGATTTTATAAACACTATGTATACTAGAATTGACATCATTATGTTAAATGAAATCAGCTATTTTCATAAAATTTACTCAATGGAACGAATTCTGCCTATAATCAAACTAATAAACTTTACTATACCTGGCTTTTATGGGGAAGTTCTGTGAAATGTCTTTCATTAATTTTAAGGCATCATAAACTGGAGTGGCCATTATTTGAGAAGCTGCTTGAAAACTAAGATCTAAAAGGAAAATAATATCATTAAAAAATCTAGCATAATGCCACATCTTTATAGACATTTCCAAGTACTTTAAGTAACTTACTCAACCCTCCTGGCCATATATTCTTATACAGACATGTTAGCATTCTTATATTTAGCACTTCTCAAAAGTCTTAAATAGAAAAGTATCGCTTATTTCCAATTAAGGTAAACTTTACACTTTTATGAATCAGTGATTATCATTTAATAACTAATATTTGTTTTCCACAAATTACATTATAACTTCAAAAGGAGATCTATGAAAATAAATGCTGATGCAAAACTATTTTTTTCTATATTTAGGTTAAATAAACAGGTAAGAAAAAGCTTTGAGAAAAAGAATAACAAGAGGAAGGAAAAATGAGTTTGAAGAACCAATTCTGGAAAGAACTTTAAGAAGGACCCAATTGTTTAAATCAGTAAATATGAAACACTCATTTTCTCTTTCAATATTGTTCTACTTTTTTATACCACAATAAAAGTAAAATCCTAAACTTAGCATTATTTTACTTGAAATGACAGTTCTATAGAAAGAAAAATGTGAGTGGTTTACTTAGTCTCCAACATGCTAGAAACAAAGTAGAGCCTGAATACTGTCATTAAAAAAAGTACTTCATACATAAGTAGGTGCTCAACGAATACTGATGAAAGAATGAGTAAATGAGCAATAAAATAACAAACAAGACCCTTTATGTTATGTTTCTTATTATTCTATTGCTATTAAAGGCATTTATAAGCAACATAATTTTTAACTGGTGTGCATACATTTAGGAATATATGCTTTTTTAGTGAGAAAACCTGTAAGTCATTACTTTATGACTGACTTAGCTTACAGAAGAGTATTTCTTTTGATGAAAGTACATGATCAAATATCATGTAGCATTTGGCTGCACGACGTTATACTCAAAAACAGTACAAAATAGTGACAAAGGAAGAATTTAGGCTCTAAAATGAGACAGCCCTGCTCATTTGAGGTATTCTTAATTTGTGCCGTATCAGATTTGTGACCTTGGATTAATTATTTTATGTGTCCATTTCTTGAAGTTTCCTCATCTGAGTGGGATATTTATCTTATATGAATTTTTAAAAATTAATTAGGGTAATGCATACTGTGCCAAACACATAGTACTGGCTAATATTCTATCATCATCAATCATCATTAATTACTATGATCATGGACAACTATCTTTTACTTAGGTTTTTTTTAAGTATACCTTTATTGATTTCAGAGAGAATAAGGGAGAGAGAGACAGAGAAACATCAATGACTAGAGAGTTGTCATTTATCAACTGCCTCCTGTGCGCCCCCGCTGGGGATCAAGCCTGCACCCGGGAATGTGCCCTGACCAGGAATCGAATAGCCATCTCCTGGATCCTAGGTCGACGCTCAACTGCTTGAGCCATGCCAGGCCAGGCTTTTACTCAGGTTTGATAGCACAACCAGTTTTCTAAAATTTCTTATAACATGAATGTAATTCTCGTTCACATGATCAATTTTTTGCATGTAATTTATTTGAAAGGCCCTGAAAATTCACTTATGAAATCAGAATGCAGATAATAAGAAATAAAATATCATCAGATTCTATTAACATTTTTTGCTTTTGTCTAAACTGTTGCATCCCTAGATGATTCATAAATTGCTATTTAACACCTACACTTTGGCCCGGCCGGGCATGGCTCAGTGGTAGAGCGTCGACCTAGGATCCAGGTGATCAGGGTTCAATTCCCGGTCAGGGCACATGCCCGGTTGCAGGCTTGATCAATGACTCTCTCATCATTGATGTCTCTATCTCTCTCTCTCTCTCCCTCTCCTTTCCTCTCTCTGAAATCAATAAAGATATATTTTAAAAAGAACAATAACAACAAAAAAACACCTACACTTTGAAGTCCCGATCCCTATTTTAAATGCCTTACTGTTTTTACCACTTGGATATTTCAAAAGCAGCATGTTTAATAAGGAATTGTGATATTCCCACTTCATCTTTGCCCAAATATGGTACTCTTTAAGTCTTCTCTTTTCAGTGAATACCACCACTGTCCCTCCAGCTGGGCAAACCAGGAATCTAGCGGTTGTTCCTGATTATCTCCTCCCTCACACTCCATAACCAACCTCTCACAAAGATCTGATATTTTCTCTAAATAACCCACCCTCAAATTTATTCCAAACCCTCCTCAAATCTCAACTCAATCACCACTTCTGGAGGAAGCCTCCCCTTTTTGTTCCCTCTTCCTTACACTCACCATACCAGTTCAGATCTTCCTGGCATATACCCTTCTTAATCTATGTACCTTTACTTGGCAGCACTTAAAATGATAATTTTTACATTGGTTTTTAAAATTATATATGTTTATCTAAGATCCTTTGAAGGAAACATAGTATCTGTTTTAACTCATCATTTGATCTTCAGAATTTAGTGTTTTTCAAAATGTCAGCTGGAACCCATGAGTTAACAGTGAAATCAGATTGAGTACTGTGAAATTTTTGTCTAATAAAATACAGTAAGAATAAAAGAGTTTTGCCGGAGTGAATAAAATATAGTAAACATACATACTGTATGTTGAAGTTTTTTTTTAGTTTTGAGCATATTTATGTATTCATACATTATACACTTGTGTATGGGTCTTGAAGTAAAATATATGTCCTACTATGAAGATCTCAGCCCAAAATTATAAAACCATAAATGTAAAACCAAAGACACTCAATAAATTTTGTTAAATTAATCAAAAAATAAAAACAAAAGGATAATGCCAGTCTCATTATTTCTGGGCCCCATATTCAACCCCCAAACCTGCTTACATGCTTTATACTTCCTCTACTCAGGCTCAGACTCCTTTTATCTCCTAAATTATTTGCCAAATCTAGTTTTCCTTTTTACACCTCTACCACAGTCATAGTTCAACCTCTCATTACACTACTTCAATTAATTATGTCTTAATTAGATTTCCTGTTTCTGGTCCATTCAAATCTATCTTACACAGACACTAGGAAGGTTAATTAAAACTAAGCTGACTATGCATGTTCTCTGTTTACAAGCCTTCAAAAGCACTCTCTCACAATTTTCTAAATTATGAGTGAGGAGAACATTTTGAAGGAGAAGAAAGTAGATTGGTGGTTGCCTACAGCTGGAGGAATTGGGAGTAATGGGAGGGACTGTTAATATGTACATTACTTTCTTTTGGGGGTGGTGAAAATACTCTAAAACTGACCATGGTGACAGTTAAAGAACTCGAAAATATACTAAAACCCACTGAATGGTACACTTTAAATGGATAACCTGCATAATATGTCAGTTATAAGCTGTTATAAGCTGTCAGTTATATTTTTAAAGTTGATGAGAAATGTGATAAAAGTTATGGATCACACAAAAAACATTTCCTTATGACCTACTAAAAATTACAAATAATAAAAAAAGAAAATTACAAGCTGAAAAGGACTTATAGTTCAATCCCAACTAAATTTTGGCCACAAAATGTCTGCTTATGGGATGTCAGCACAGAAGCTGTTCTAAGCTAATAGTGAAACATTCAATAGTCAGTCTATTAAGATCAAAATTTCCAATAGAAGAAAACTAAGAATTAGGTCTCATTTCTCCTGACCTACTGATTAGGATTTTTATCAATGTTATAGATTCCCTGAAATGTGATTTAATATTTCAAATAAACCTATAAATCAGTGTACACTTTAAAAATGATTAGAAAATATAAAATAACTACGCTTCATATAATTTTAAATCTTATAGACATAAAAATATAATTTGCTTGATGGATAAGCTTTTAATTAAATATCTATTTCTATAAAAAGTAATATAATGATTTATATTATTTACATATAGTATTACTTTCTATAAAATAATTTATATCATGTTATATAAAAGCTTATTTAATAAAACTGAGATCAGTTACCAAACTGCTGTGTTAAAGTAAACCAAAATACTCTACCTTGCAGCTCCCAGACTTTCAAAGGTGTCATTTCTTTGCTACTGTCAATCAGGTATTTTTGGAATGCTGTCAGATTATCTCTGAGATCTGAATATCTTTCTCTGCATTAAAATATTAAGTAATGTTAATGATCATCACCTACTACAAAGCACTATATAAGCAGTATGTTTTTTAAACTAACTCTTCCAAATGATTAGTTACAAACTAATTGTTCATTGTTAAGAGAATAAACCACGATGCAACTATATCCACAGAACTTAAAATAAATGAGGGAGATTTATGTCTATTTTTTTCAATATGTAAAACAAAGCAAAACCAAACCAAACCTGGAGAAATGTAGTCTCTATCAATTGTTAGCATGTTAACATTACCTATAAGGGACCCAAGGGTGAGGGCTGAATTATTAGTTTTTATAATATATGCTTTTTATTTTACCATTTTATATATTAAAAGTATTGCTTTTATAATTTAAGATAAAAATGGTTTTATAAGGAAAAACACAAATGCTTCCTATACAACTTAAATTTTACTCTATTTTTGAAAAGCTGTAGGTTTAAAATGTATAAAAAATGTAAGATAATTTTGCCTAATATTAATCACATGTAGGTATCTTTTAGAGAGTGCCAAATAACAATGTAGTAGAATGACATTTTACTATACATACAATCTAAAGGATAACCTCCTATCTCTCACGAAATCAAGACACAGTGTCATTTCAGATTTAAATCGAATTCTTTTTAAAAAAACACTTCAGCTACTATGACAATTTATAAAATATATATTTTCAACAGTAAAAAGAAATGAAGATATTAAAAAGTGAAATGAAAAATAAATATACAGAACATACACACAGAAATGCATTAATCTTATAGATAACAACAAATGAATATACTCCAGTGTCAATATCTCGCACTTTGATTATAATGTGGACTACATTTTGAAAATGAATCAAGACTGACTGACTCTTCTCATAATGAAAAAGCAACAAGACTTCAGAAAAGTTAACTACAAATTACATTAAACCCTCCATTTCTCAAAATTTTAAGTGACAGAGTTTATAAGAGATATTATATTGTTTTTCATATTTAATACTAATCTTAATTTTCACTGCTAAAATTACTTACGTAATTCAAGCAAAAATACATTACTTATACAATACTTTAAAGCAAAAATATTTGTTTTCCTAAATCAACTGAGTAACGGTACAAGAACTAACTTTGAGTATTTCCCCTCAAGAAAACTAATATTCCAGGGCTCCAAAGGCCTTTTGCAGGACGCACAATTTATTATCATAAAAAGTTATGTTTAAAAAAGAATACAACTATGGATTCTAAGATGTTGAGAACAGCTGAAAATTTAATAAAAATGTTTTGTTATCTCCTAAACAAATACCTTAATTAGAATAAACCTGTTTTGCAAGATGCATTAACTTTATAAGGCCACTAGTACACCACTTAGGCAATGAAGTTTAGTAATGTAACCCAGTCATCTGTATAAACTAGCATAGCCTCTAAAAATATCTTAAGGGTCCTTTATAAATACTTGTAATACTAAGCAATAACTAAAGATATTAATAAAAGAATTTTCTTTTCATTAATTTTGCCTTTATATTGAAATCATAAACTTTCCCTTCTTGTAAATAAGAGAAAGCACACATAAAACTACAATTCCCATTCATGAATATTCAGAGAGCACTCACCATCCTATTCCTTGTCTTCAATCAGTGATGCAGGAAAAAAAGGGGGTATAACTTTAATTTTTCAAAGTTTACTTACACGTGGGTATGAAATTAAGACCAGACATTATAAGGTTTTTAATATGGGAATCTGCAGCACAGAAATTTAGGGAAATAAATTATTTTCTCTTCTTTTGAAGCATAAAAATTATTTTTTTTATGCTAAATATTAACCATGATTTTTGTAACCTATATCTATAAAAGATTTTATAAAGTTTTAATTTAGTTTTTGCTAGAGAGAACTTTGATCATTTTCATTTCCTATTTTCTAATCATACTTACACTGTTGAATTAGTGATTACTTTTCAATTTTGTGTTTTTGCATCAACTATGTATTATTTTGTAATAAATAAAAACAATTATGTGTGTAATTTTAAAATGTGAAATGTAAGCCAACAAAGCATACTGAATTAATACCTTTAAAAGCACACTTAAGAGCATAGTAATATAACTTTATTTCACTTCAGACTTACTTTAGTTTCCCAAAAAGAAATCCTTGAACTTCATTTGTTTCAGTCTCACCTTCTACAGCAGTATTAGTCACAGCTATATTTTGGAAACAAAAACAGAAACAAAACAAAAACATTTCAGACTGGGAAAAGCTTATAGAATCCAAAACTTGGAGAACTCAAAAGGAAATGAAATTCCATTCATTTTACCTTGTTTTTCCTTCATGGATCAGCTTAATGATATATGCATGTGCACGTGCTTGCATTCCTGACTGTGCACTCTTTTTATTTATGTTTTTAATTTATTGGGGTGACATTGGTAATAAAATTAAAAATGTTTCAAGTGTACAATTCTATAATACATCATCAGTATAATATATAGTGTGTTCACCACCCAAAGTCAAGTCTCCTTCCATCACCATTTATGCCCCCTTTACCCTTTTCTACTTCACCCAACCCTCCTTTCCCTCTGGTAATCATTTTACTGTTGTCCATGTCTATGAGGTGTTTTTAAAACATTAAATTTATTGGGGTGACACTAGTTCACAAAACCATACAGGTTTCAAGTGTACAACTCAACAAAACCTCCTCTGCACACTACATCAATGCCAATCACCCAAAGCAAAGTCTCTTTTGGTCCCTATTTCCCCCACTATGCCCTCCTCCACCTACCCCCACCCCCTTTCCTTCTGGCTATCACTACACTGTTGTCTGTGTCTATGTGTTATATATATGTATATATTTTTGCTTAATCCCTTCACCTTTTTCCCAGTCCCAACCCCCCTCCCCTCTGACAGCCGCCAGTCTGTTCTCTGTATCTATGAGTCTTTCTTATTTCATTTGTTAGTTTACTTTGTTCATTAGACTCCAAATACAAGTGAAATCATATAGTATTTGTCTTTCTCTGACTGGCTTATTTCACTTAGCATAATATTCTCCAGGTCTATCTATGATGTGACAAAAGGTAAGATTTCCTTCTTTTTATGGCCTAGTAGTATTCCACTGTGTAAATGCCCCACAGCTTTTTTATCCACTCATCTACTGATGGGCACTTGGGCTGTTTCCAGATATTAGCTATTGTAAAGAATGCTGCAATGAATCCAGGGGTGCTGTTTCCAATTTTTTTAATTTTCATTTTTTATCCTCACCTGAGGACATTTTTTCCACTACTTTTCAGACAGTGGAAGGGAGAGAGAAAGAAACATTAGTTGGTTGCCTCTGCACACGCCCTAACCAGGGCCAGGGATTGAGCCTGCAACCGAGGTACGTGCCCTTGGCGGGAACTGAACCCAGGACCCTTCAGTCGGTGGGTCGACACTTTAACCACTGAGCCAAAACAGGTAGGGCCCAATTTTTAAAGAAGTTTTTTAAGAGCACAGTAATATTAAATATATTTCTTTCAGTTTAAAATTAAATTCCAAACTCAGGAAAAACATTTCTACCCCATCTCTAGCCTCATATTAACATGAGTAGAATTTTAGTCATGAAATTTTTTAAAAAACAAAAGAATATGTCTGAAAATTTTTATCTACTCATATACAAAGAGGAAACTTACTTTTAACTTGGGTATCATCCAATGCTTTGTATTCTGTACTCTTAATTGCTAGCTCCACACCATAGCCAGATAAGTACATTTTCCGTGAGGTTGATTTCTGTTTAAACACATTGATTTAAAAATAAAAAAATAAAAAGAGGGAGAGAAAATAGTTACTCAAATATCTTTTCATTTCAGTGTAACCGTGTATTGGACATTAGGGTAAATTACTAATAAGAAAACTTTTAAATGACTGTGAAAATTATGTGGGGGGTAAATACTCTCTAGCCAGTCTATCAAGGAACCAGAATTTGGTTGATGACCACTTCTTTACTTTGTAAAAACTGTCATGACTATTGTTTTTAATTATTCTTTTATGATGAAAAATTATTTGATCTTTTCCTGTTTTATCATGGTTACCTTTCCCATCTCTCCCATGAGTTAATTAACAAAAGGATGCGATACAATGAAGTTTCAACAAAACTGTACTGCTTTTAGGAACCACACAAGATTTGCTAAACCAGCAAATGGCATTCATTTGCTAGCTGTCTAGATGTAGAACAACTAGAGTGCTGCCAAAAGCAAATACTGGAAAGTAGAGGCAAAGGAGACAAAAAAAACTCAGTGCCTTGAACAACCTGATTAAATTTTCTCCACGTTTCTCAATGACTGAAATATACCAAATGCCACAAATGAGTATCTATTCTGGCAATGAGGGGTAACAACTGCTTAAAACTGAGTCTGAAGTATTTATGTTCAGAATTTGGTATCTTATTTTTCCCTTTCTATAAAGGGAATATAAAAAGTAAATATAAAATGTACTTATAGAAATAACCCTATCAAAGAAGAGAAGTCATCACATTTTTTCTAAAGGTAAGGAAGCTGAATGAATTTATATAATATTTTTGAAGATGTCTATGTTTCTAGCTTCCAGACTGAAATTCTTATTAGTTGTGCCACAATCATTATAATTTGGCATATTCTTTCACAGATTAAGAAACCAGTTTAACATAACTCAGCAAATTCCCCTAAAGATGTGTCTTTGCTTAATTCAGGTTTGCACAGGGGTAATTTTGGCACTCTATACATGACAGAGGAAGAGGTAGAAACTGGAGGGACGAAGAACCTTAAGAGCATATTATTCTTTGTATTCTCTTCTTTCCTCCCTAAACTTCTTCCCCAGTTTTAAAAATAGTAAATATATTAGCAAAGTGACTATTCCTGGAATATCCTATTTCCAAATATGATGTAAGAATTAGTTTTAGATATGCAGACAAGTATTTAACATTGTTGCCTACACTAAAATTTAATTTGCTAATTTTTCAGACATATGCTCTAATGAAAGATAGTATGAAAAAACTGGGTTGTTTACAATTATAGTATTCCAACAAAGTTGAGAAACTTTTAAAGTCTTTTCAATTTCATACAGCTCAATTTAAAAATATTTTCTGACTATCCACTCAAAAAGACAACTGGTTGGTAGCTAAGGGAACCAAAGCTCTGAGTCTACATATTTTGTTATAGTTCATAAAAGAAATGGAATTTCACATAACCAATTTCCATGATCTATTCTGGAGTATTAGTAGTTCCTCAGTAATAAGATAAATGATTATTAAATTCATATTTACTTTATCCATTTGAAAATGTATTAATATAAAATTTGAATTGTAGTTTAATAAATTTAGGTTTACAAACCAAAAATGCTCATAGTCTAAATCAACTGGTGAAAAAAATCTTTATTTTTCTATTTTTTCTTTCCCCACAAAAAGGCATCTGTTCAAAAAGTATCATAAATAAGTCTATTTTTATTAGAATCATGTTGATTAGATTTACAATATAACTATTTTGATTGTATAATACATCACTCATTAAATATAATTTGATGTTACAAAGTGCCTGGAGAGTTGGCCAGTATGATTTCATAAAAGTATATTTAATAGTCACATTCTCCAAAGAATAACTAGGGACACTGAGCCTCAATAGATGAGCACACCTTCTGGGGCCATATTAGAATCACTTGGGAGACATTTTTTAAAAAGATAAACATATTTTAATCTCCCACTTCCATTCCTATTCTGATATAAATGACATATAACATTTTGTGAGTAAGTTATACAACATGATGATTTGACATATGTATACATATATTATGAAATGATCACAGTAAGTTAACATCCACACCTCACATTGTTAGTTTTTTTTCTTGTGATGAGAACTTAAAAAAAATTTTTAATTTATTAATTTTGGAGAGAGGAAAGGAGAGAGAGAACAAGAGAGAGAGAAACATCGATTTGTTGTTCCACTTATTTATGCATTCATTGGTTGATTTTTGTATGGGCCCTGACCAGGAATCGAACCCAAAATCTTGGTGCATCGGGATGACACTCTAACCAACTGAGCTACCTGGCCAGGGCTAAAGAGAACTGTTACGATTTAGTCTCTTAGCAGCTTTCCAATATACAATACAGTATTGTTAACTACAGTCACCATGCCATACATTGCATTCCCAGAATTTGTTTACCGTATAACTGGAAGTTTGTTCCTTTTGACCATCTTCACTCATCATTGCTACCCCACTGGCCCCAAAACCACCAATCTGTTTCTATTTCTATGAGTTCAGGTTTTTTGGATTCCACAAGTGAAATCATATAGTCTTTCTCTGACTTATTTCACTTAGCACAATGCCCTCAAGGTCCATTGGTGTCACAAATGGAATATTATTCAGCCTTAAAAAGAATGAAATATTCCCATTTTACACACACACACACACACACACACACACACACACTACATTTTCTTTACACATTCATCCACTGATGGACAAATAAGTTGTTCCCACATCTTGGCTATTTTAAGTAATGCTGCAATAAACATGGGGTTGCAGATATCTTTTTAAGATAGTGATTTCACCTCCTTGTGATATATATACTCACAAGTAGAATTGCTGCATCATCTGATAGTTCTATTTTTAATTTTTTGAGGAACCATCATACTCTTTTCTATACTGGCAACACCAATTTATATTCCCAACAGTGCACAAGGGTTCCCTTTTCTCCACATCCTCACCAACACTTCTTTAATAAGAGCCATTCTAATAGCTGTGTTGTGGTATCTTATTGTAGTTATTGTAGTTTTGATTTACATTTTCCTGATAAGTGATATTGAGCACTTTTTCATGTACCTGTTGGTCACCTGCATGTTTCCTTTAGAAAAATGTCTATTCAGGTCCTTTGCCCATTTTTTAATTGCATTGGGGTTTTTGTTTGTTTTGCTATTTAGTTGCATGAGTTCCTTATATATTTTGGATATTAACTCCTTATCAGATATATGAATTGCAAGTATTTTTTCCCATTACATAGGTTGCCTTATTTGGTTAGTTTCCTTTGCTCTGCAAAGGATTTTTAGTTTGATGTAGTCTTCCTTGTTTTTTTTTGCTTTTATTGCCTTCACTTTTGGTGTCGAATCTAAAAAGTCACTGCCAATAGCAATGGCAAGGAGCCTTTTCCCTATTTTTCTAAGGAGCTTCATAGATTCAAATTTTACATTTAAGTCTTTAATCCATTTCAAGTTTTTTCTGTGAATAGTGTAAGATAGGGTCCCATTTCATTCTTTTGCCTGTGGCATTCGTTTTCCCCACACCTTTTATTGAAGGGACTATTTCTGAATATTCCTGGCTCTCTTGTCAAATATTAGTTTATCATATATTAATGTGTTATTTCTAGGCTCACTATTGTTCCACTGAACAATGTGTCTGTTTTTATGCCAACACCATACTGTTTTGATTACTACAGCTTTACAATATAGTTTGAAGTCAAAACGTGTCATGTCTCCAGTTTTGTTCTTCTTTCTTATGATTGCTTTAGATTTTAAAGCTACCGCAGTTAAATGATGTCATATTTGTGTAGACTAGACATATATACATTACTGGAATAGAAGAGAGAGTCTAAGAACAAGCATGCCTATATGAAAAGTTGGTAAGTGATGGCTTAGAATAAAGATTTAACTGTTCAATTAATTACGTGAGGACCAATGATTTTCATATAGAAAAACAAGAATTATATCTCTACCTCACAACATATTCAAATACATTCCAGATAGCTTAAGGACCAAAACATAAAGAATAGCATTTTTAATTCTCACAAGAATATGTAGGAAAACACCTTTATAACATCATTAGGGAAAATCATTAAAGAAAAGTTGAATAAACATGACAACATCAAATTAATACTTGTGCTGAAAAAAGATGTCATAAATACTTTTTCAATAAAAGACCAAAAATACACTAACCGATGTTTGCAAAATATGAAAGAAAAGGTTAGTATTCAAAATATATTTTTAAAAATCTGTAACTGAGGGAAAAAACCCCAAAGAACCCAATATTAAAACAGGCAAAGCAGATGGATAGGCAATTAACAAGTATATTTGTAATGCTTTTATTTCTTAACATTAACATGTAAATCATTAATATTTCGGGAAATGCAAATTAAAACACTTGTGCCCTTGCCGGGTGGCTTGGTTGCAGAACCATCCTGTACACCAAAAAGTGTGAATTGGATTCTTGGTCAAGGCATTTACCTAGATTGCAGGTTTGATCTCCAGTACAGGCATATATGAGAAGCAACCGATGAATGTTCCTCTCTCACATAGATGTCGTCATTGTTTTTCCTTTTCCTCTCTCTCTCCCTTCCTCTCTCTCTAAAAATCAAGAAACATATCCTCGGGTGAGGATAAAACAAAAAAAATTACAACACTATTTCCATGTTGGGAAGATAGCAGTAAAAACAAACAAACAAAAAACACACAGTAAAGTCCTTCCTCTAATGGCCATTATATTCTAGAGCATGTACCTGTGAGAGTTTAGGGGCATGTGTGTGTATGGGGTGGAAGTGTTAAAGAAATAAAATTTGAGGTATAGCAAAAAGTGCTAAGAAGTCATTAGAACAGAATAACGCGGGATAGAGTGTGACAGCAATGAGAGGTTGAGAGAGTGGGAGATAATACAACACATTTGACCAGAAAGTTAAATAAGAAAGTAGTGAGCTGTCCAAAGAAATAGGGTTAAGAGTATTCCTATACCATGCTTAGCACTTTGAATATATAATATCACTGGATCAAGTAAATCAGATTTCCTCATTGTAATTCATTTTCATTAAAAATAACTATAGATATGAATCCTAACAAATATTATGCACATTATAGAATTATGGTTTTGTTTATTACTTGAGTTTTAAATGTTCCCGATATATATGAAAAAAACACACCCCCCACACCCATAAACATGATATTCCCAGAAAAGACACAGACTCCCAATATACTTTTCCATATAAAATTCACATCTGATACTTGGGTTCATTTTTTAAAATCTTTACATTGCAATCCTAATGGAAATTATTATGTAAAATCTAGTAAGAAAACTATCACGAAAGGTAGTTTTATACCCAAAATGATCTTAAATAAAACAAACATGTACCTGAATATAATGACGAAGAACATACAGAATTTCCCCATTTTGAGCTTTTTCAGACAATACTGTGTGAAATTTACCAAATGATCTGGTACCCATTTCTGCATAGAGAATAATCACTGGTAAGTTCTCTTTGTTTGTAGGAAATTTATGATCTCGCGCAAAAAGATATGGTCTGGGCCTAAAATGAAAACAAACAAAAAACCCATACAAACTTTTAAAAGAATTGAAAGTAAAAAGCATATGAGAAATATTTAATGGCACTTTATAACTTATGCTTATCAAATAACTTATAGGAATACATATATAAACACACATATACATAAACACATGTTATGACAGAAAAATTTAAATTTCCTGTAGCCACTTTCTGCACATAATTTCTACTAAGTGACAGAAAGAAAAGAAATCTGGTTAACCCCAAATTGAATATTACAAATACTTTTTCCTCTCTCTCTCTCCCTTCTTCTCTCTAAAAATCAATAAACATATCCTCAGGTGAAGATAAAACAAAAAAAATTAACACTCTTTCCATGTTGGGAATATAGCAACCTAGATGTCCATCAACAGATAAAAGGATAAGGAAGATGTGGTGCGTATACACAATGAAATACAACTCAGCAATAAAAAGGAACAAAACCTTGCTATTTGCAACAATGTGGATAAACCTAGAAGGTATTATGCCAAACTGAATGAGTCTGACAGAGAAAGACAAATACTGCATGATTTCACTTATATGTGGAATCTAAAAAAAACAAATAAATAAAACAGTTTATATTTAAAGACATATAGTCCATATAAACCCACAGTTTCATATGTTTATATAAAACACATCTCACATTTTATGGTATTTTGGTACAATTTATAGTCTAAAGTCAAGAGCTAATCAAGACACAACACTGAAAGTACTTATATATTTTAGAAAAGGACTCAGACTCTCAACTCATATATATTCAGTTTTTCAATATACAGTGTATTCTTTAATATACAAATTTCTGCTTTTGACTGTCAACTCTTCATAAACCACTTCTTTCACTATCTATCGTTGATTTACCTTGAAGTAGCCTTCTTCAGCAGTTTTTTAATCTCATTAACTTTACAGGTGTGTTTCTTATGGATAACCACAAATGCATCACAACCATCTGGTGGTGGTTCATCAGCTGCAACCTAAGATTTAAAGATTATATTTAGCTACAGTAGCTGATAATTACAATATGATTTTAAAAAGTCATACATTACTTTGATTATAATAACTCATCAACTACTATTAAGTTATTGCTCTAATTAAAGTAAAAAATATCTTTATGCAGGCAGAATTAAATATTTTAACAAAATCAACTTTATCGTAGAAATACGAGCTTCAAAGGTGTTGAAAAGTTTCATTAGTTAATTTTAATTGTGGTTTGTCCTCAAAATTTCCTTATCCCAGATAACTATAAAATTATATATCAATTATATTATAATCAATGATAATATAATCAATGATAAGCTATGGAACCAGATATTGTAAGTGTGTAGATCCTCTTGAACTGAAGATATTCACTTAAGATAGATTCATGTACATTACTAGCATGCTTCTTTGTCATATATAGGTGGGGAATTTTTACATACCTGTTGAAACATCTGAACAGCTGGAGAATACGCTCTTATAGACAAAGCAAACTTTAAGAGATTGATATGTAAATTGTCTAAGAATTGTCCAGCTTTCTTCAGGATTAAGTTGTAATAAGAATAATCTGACTCTATAAAAACAATGCAAAAAAATATTAGTATTTTTGTATTCAACACATTGGCGCATCTCTCTCATTGTAATGCTAACTTAATATCACATAATCATATCTTAAGCTTGGTTAAACATGGTGTTAGAGAAAAATGGAAAATCAAGATCTCTCTTTTATTATTAACTTCATATGGATCTTCCAGTGAAGTCCAAGAAATAAATATAAGTCCAGGTGAAAATAATCTTGCCATTAAAATCTATTTGGAAGATGCTAGTATATCAGACCAATTCACTCCAGGGCTATGGGGTTATAACACAAGAATAAGATGTAGGCCCTACTTTCAATTTAAGAGGAGACTAAGAACAGCACAAAAAAATTAAAGAATATGACTGTTAATAAATTTTAAATTACATGTATGAATACATTCAACTGATATTTAGTATACACAAGCAAGTGGGTCCAGAACACTTTAGGAGACAAAATTTGAACCAGGCCTTAAGGAATAAAAGAAATGTCTTATTCTCTGGAACAAACTAACCTGAAATGCTGATTCCCTCCTCTAAACCCACTCCAAAGATCACAAAGACACAAAAGAGAAGGATGAATCCTACAATTTAAAAACTCTTGGACACCCCTGGGATGACAGAGATCATCTGAATAGCAGAGGGCAGAAGAGAATGACAGACTACAGTTGAAGAGGGTCTGGTGGCACTAATGGAAATAAGCAGGGAGAAAACTATCAATTTTTGCCATTTTCTCTATACTGCCCCAGGTGTAATCGTCTGTGTTGTTGCCACTGTGTCAGAAAACTGCAATACCATTCCACTGCCAGCAAGAGGTGGTAAGGTAACAAAAGTGCAGCTCTAGAGTCCAGTGGTACAGGTATCCATAGTCCCTGGACATTCCCTGGCTATTTTTTCTATCCTATACTCCTTGGCACTGGGTTACCAACTCATGGAAACTTCTCATAGAAAAGAGCAGAGTTGGGGTAGATCCAGAGCAGCTACCATAGGTCAGAGTTCCCTGATAAGGGAGGACAACAGGGTGGATAGCACCAGAAGCTCTACTTCTGAGAAGAGAACAAGGATGCTAACTGACACTTTGGGGGAGGCAGGAGAGACTGGATTGCTTGTAATGTTTATTACTTGTTCAAATGACTGCTGAACTCTTGACTCTCCATTCCTCTTCTTACCACAACTTACTCATGGTGCAGGTGTCTGGCCCTCTATGTTGCCCTATGAGAACTGGGGCTCAGAGCACGAGCACAGATATGTGGATACTGTGGTTACTGATTTTGCTTTGAGCAGTAAAGTCTTTTGTTTCTGACCTAGGGGCCTTCTGTCCTCTGTCAGCACCAATGGAAATAATCTGTTAGCTTGCAAGTAAGTTAAATCTCAGATCCTTCATATTATTTGACAGATTTGACAACAAAGATGTAATGTTGACAGATACGTGGATTTTGGAGAAGACCAGTCCCAGCCCATGGGCCAATTAACAAAATTTAAGGGAAGTCCTTGTAAGTTGATAGTGGGCATGTTGACAAATCATCAGGAAATAAATGGTCCTCCAATTTGTCGCCTATTAGTGAAAAGAAAATGAGGTTATAGGCCAAGAACTAGGCAGTAGATTCAAAGGCATTTGCCCAAATGACATGTTAATTGTTAACTCTCCTCCATGCAAGTGGACTTCTTTACCAATTATTCTATCAGCTTACATTACACACCACTGTGACAAGTACAAAGACCTATCTTGTGTCAGAGTAAGGCTCCACCTTCTTCAAGCAATAGGTAAAGTGATGCATACTTACACTGAGTGAGAAAGGAAGGAAATTTGTGACTACTGTATCAGAAGGATTCAAAATCATTAAAACTTTGGTTTGCCTAGTAGATGAGGGGATGAAGTACAAAATGCAGAATTACAACCAGCTTATGATTCAACAACTCCTACAGTCTATCATGCCAACCTTAGATCCTTTCTAAGATGAAAGTAAAAAGCCTCAGAGTTACCGCAATGGATCCTGGCTGATTAAAAACATCTATAGCCTACTTGGGAGATTTCCCTTAGTTATAAAGTCCTTCAGCTTTGACCCCGGAGTCTCATGTCCTATGGCTGTCTGATACTTGAAACTGCAGAAAGGAACGTTTTCAGCTTGCAAGTAAGGTAAAAATCTTGGCTTCTTTACAGTTCTTGATAAAAAAAACCCAAAAACCCTCAGAAATGAGAAAACTAAAATGGGGGGCTATAAAAATTGTTCTAAAAGAACTGAGAAAAGAACTAGAAAATATAAGCTAAATTAGAACACAAGAGCAAAATGATGTCAGGGAAAGCAGAGCAAGAGAAACAGAGAATAAGGGGAAATGTGAAGAAAATTAAACAGAAATAACAAAAAAGAGGAGAAAATGGAAAAAAATTACGAGTAAATGATAGATGCAGAACTCAGGCAAAGGAGATCTACAATATGTATAATTATAACCCTAAAACAGAAAATCAAGGGGCTAAAAGAGAATGAATAAATAAAACTATAATCCAAGAAAACTCTCCAGAATTAAAAGGGGTAATGACTCTACATATCTAAGAATAAAGACTCAATAATCAGCACGGCAACATTTTTTGGTATAACTATGAGACTAAAGTTAAAATCTCAAATATAAAATTCACACATGCACAGTTACGTATGTGAAGAACTCAAGGCCATTAATTTCAGGAGTTATTTATGTGGCATCAACCAGAAGGCAAACTGTATATAACCAAGAAATAACCAGAGAAACTACAGCATAAAGTCTGATGGTGAATGCTGAATGTACTCAACTCCAAAACAAGCCTAATGAAGGAGTTAAAGATTTACAGAAGACTATGCAAATGTTGTATGCTCTGGCAATGTAGAATATACCACCAACAAAAAATGCAACAAAGGGAAAAGTAAGTAGAACGTAAAGTAGGCTCAGTGATTCCTCATAAATATTATCTGGGACTAAAGGGTATCACTGAAGCCAACAAATCAAGTAGTAGAAGCTAATGTACACTTAAGAATACAAAAATAGAGACTAAGAATATTTGTGAACAAAATCAGGTGGTGGTGAGGGGATCACTAGCCATTTCATCTAAAGAAAGAGGCTGACAACTCAGAGGCTTCACACATTATTCCTCTGGCATGGAATGCAGGAGGTAGAGGGTGCATTTTGGCTAACTCCTATTCAGCAAACCTCAGCTTACATGTCTTTTGCTTTGGAAAGAGTTTTCCCTGGATTTCCCAAGTCAAGGTACTGTTATACACTCTCACAGGACTCTATACTATGTCTGGTTCAATTTTCAAAAGTGTAATTGAAAATTAATTGTATAATTATTTGTTTAATGGTGTTCTTCCCATTAAGCTATAAAATATGAAAACAATCTTTTCAAGACTTTAAATTGTACCTTTTTTAACCCTGGCATACAAAACAGGCAATATAGTTCTAGAATTAATATTTAAGAATTGAATAGGTATCTTTATTGTAGGCAATAATATTGGGCTAATCCAGTAATTTCACTTATTTATTTCAAGCAAAAGTTCACTCACATGTGGAATCTAATGAACAAAATTAACAAACAAAATAGAAACAGATTCATATATAGAGAACAGACAGTTGTCTGAGTGTTACCACTGTAACTAGCTAGTTATTAATACTAATAGGAAGAAAGCAAATGGGAGGTAAGATACTGTGAGCATGGTTATCTGTGTAACTTCACCAGGAAGCTGCAACTTTCCACTCCCTGGGGAACCATGGGTCCATTCCCTGCAGGTCACTGGGAAAAGGGATCAAACAAAGGGGAAGATGGGTGCATGCATAGTGAAAGCGGGGTGACTTAGGGAAGGTGCTTGCCTGTCTCAGTCTAGCCTGTGGAACAAAGATCACTGGCTAGGAGGACAGAGCAACTGCAAACCCGTAAAATCCTGAAATGTTAATTTGTTAAGCTCCTAGTTATAAACCAGACACAAAGAGTTCTCGCCTTCTTGTTCCTCTTGCTTCACTCCTGCTTCCTTGCACTCACTTGCTCTGTGACCCATGCTAGCCTGCTACATGGACCCCACATGCAATGGAATGCAGCCGGGAACACAAGCTAAGCTAGCCAGATGCTGGACTGGACTGTGCTTTAATATGTAGAGAAGATTCTGGACAGTGGCTTTGATCTTAGCCCTGCTGAAGACACAGCCGGACTTCTTCCATGGCGAAATGGAGGGAGATGGGACCTTGGAGCTTTTGGGGTGCCACGAGAACAAGAATTTTCTGAGGCTCCCATGGGAGGATGAGGTATCATGGAAAGCCTTTATTGGCTCCCCAAGAGCTCCACCAGTAACAGGTGAGGTCACAGAGGACACAACACTGAAAACAAGAGGGGAGGGGGTTTGGGGCATGCTCCAGAGAGAGAGCTGCCACTAATCCAGTAATTTTAAAGAGTCATCATATAAGAACAGGTATGCTCATTCACACGTACTTTTTTTTTTTTTTTTTAAAAAAAGAGCTATCATAGCACTGTCCCCACTTTGTTGATGTAAACCACTAAGGGGAATGCTTAAAAGAGATTCCATTGCCTTAAGTCCTAAAGCTACTATCTTCAAAAAGAAGATTTTTAAATATTGATATTAAAGATACATGATAAACTGGNTATGGTGCATATCTACCCAAGGATAAAAAAAATAATGCAAGTTAAGACTCATTTTCAGAAGTAAAAGCAACACAAAATAAATCAGACAGGCAATGTTATTTAAAAAGTTGATCCTGTAATAACTATATATGGTGCCAGGTGTGTACTGAAAACACTGAGGGGAACACTTTGTAAAGTATATGATTGTTTAATGACTATGCTGTATACTTAAACTAATACAAAATACTGAATGTAAACTGTAATTGAAAACAAGTTTTTTTTAACAACCTTTAAAAAGACATAATAGCTATAGGACCAACAATAAAATAGACAAAATTAATGAATAACATAACTAAAATAAGTCTACCTTGGTCATAAGGGTACTGATCACCAATGAAACAGAGAAGAGAGTCAACAGAAACAAATATGAGTAGTGTCTGACAACAGACATCAAATTTTCTCAAGGTCACTGTTAAGGTTATCTCTAATACAGTGATAGATGTAGGATTCAGGGGTTTAGAGAAAGTAAATCTGTAATTTAGGCTTAACTTGCAAGTTCATCTTAATCAAGAGATGGATGCATTGGACTATTTCAGCTGATCTTTTAAAATAACTAAATCCATGCTCACCAACTAACTTGTTGATAATAATTTTACCCTTTCCTTTCAATATCCTTCATCTGCAACCTCACCTTTTACTTGAATTTTGCCAATTGAGAATATACACACATCACTCTCATCTTAAAAAATAAAAAATAAAAAGCAGCAGCAGCAGCTCTGGCTGGTGTAGCTCAGTTGGTTGGGCGTCATCCTATGTACTAAAGGGTTGCCAGTTTGATTCCCGATCAGGGCACATGCCTGGGTTGTGGGCTCCATTCCAGTAAGGGGAGTGCAAGAGGCAGATGATTGATGTTTCCCTCTCCCATTGATGTTTCTCTCTCGCTCTCCCTCTCCCTTTCCCTTCCTCTATCTCAAAAAAATAGAAAAATCAATTTTTAAAAAAAGCAGCAACAGCCTCCACAGTCAGCTACTGATCCATCTTATTAACTTCACAGTCAAGCTGGAAAGACTTAACAATACTTATTTCTACACATTCAACCTCCACTCACATCTCAACCTACTGTAGTGAAATTACTCTCACCAACATCACCAATAGCATTTCTGTTTTTAAAAGTTTAATATTCACATTACTTGATCTGTCTATATCATTTAATAACATCTATTATTTACCAATTAACCTCCTGGCTTTCCTGACATCATACTTTCTAGGTTTTCACCTACCTCCACAGGTACTCCTTAGACTCTAGTGCGTGTTCTTCCTCTGGTTATCCATTCTACACTGGTGTTATTCAGGGTTTTGCCCTGGAGACCTATTTCTTTCTCATTCTCTACCTTCTCCTTGTAACTTCAATTACCTCTTGATGTTGATAACTCCCAAATTCTACTCTTTAGCCTAATTTTTTTTTTTTAGCTCAAGTAGCCTAGATCTCTTACTCATATATCAGCCTACTGGATATCTTCACTTGGATATTCCACAAGCATTTCAAATGTGATACATCCAAACTGCAGTCATCTTCCTATCCCAAACCTAGTTCTCAGCTACAAGTAACTGAGTTAAAAATATAACAAAATATCATAAAATCTTTTTCATTAAAATATAAAAGCAACATTAGTATAGACACCATTAAAATCTTCAAGGACTTTGAGAATGAGAATCTTATATGTTGAACACATGAAGAAGTAAAAATAAATAGGGACTTTGGAATCAGGTAAACCTTCACTGACATTTCCAACACACCACACAAAACACAAGTTAGCTAAATGATGCCACTTGCATCTTGAGGCATAAATACAAAACTCTGTGCCAGAACCATGTAAAATGTTTTAAAAATCAGGCAATTCAATGATTAAAAGGTCTTAATTTATTGGCACATAACGTTAAGTGTTCTCATTAAATGGCATGAAACTAGCACCTATATTCAATGTGTTAAAATGTTCAGTACTTACAACTTTTTTAAGCAAGTAGATCACCAGAATTATGTTTAAGTAAAGAGTATTTAGAAGGTCTCATGAAGATTCAACAACCTAAAAAATTACAAGTAACCGAGGATTTGAAATGTTTCCTCTAGGATAACATCTTGAAAACAAATTTGGCAAAATCTGATAGTTGTTAACATATTTAATTCCTCTTATATACCGCTTTCCTACACCTAACAAGGTCAGCAGTGATGCAACATATGCATTTGACTCTCACCATTATAAATAAGCTAAACATAATTATATTTTCAGTGTTAGTAATTCTTACAATACCATTTATTTTAGATTCAACCCTGAAATACACATACCTACAATATAAGTTAGAAGTAGAATTTAGGTATTCCTGAGCTTATATTCCAACTTTTTAATGATCTGCCATCAGACTGTCCGGGTATGTAGTTTCATTTAGGTATAAAATATGCTGATACATCTAAGTAACTTCAAATAATAGTTCAAAATTTACAAGAGTAATTTTTAAGACTGTTTCTTCAGTGAAAAATGGCACTGAAAAGGACAAAGTGTGTAGTGAAAACAACAGATTGGGATAGGTATACTGAGGATTTTAGGTAAGGGCCAAGAAGTGTTGGATTTTTTAACTAACATGAAAACTTGACATATTATCTAGCCTATATTTACCTCCATTAGCAAAACTAAAATTAGCAGGACAAATACAAAGCCAATAATTTCCCAATGATTTGAAAGTAGACTTCCAAGTGGTCAAGTTCCTCTGTGCATTTCACTCCTGCCTCTTCTCTTCTCCCTTCTTCATCACGTGGCTAAATGCTATCATCCAAACTAATCCTGCATTCACCACTGGAAAGGCTGTCTTGGTCTCTGAAATACTGACCAGGTACCTTTTTTTATACACTACCATGTATCCCTATTAAAGCTCTTATCACCTCACAGTATACTTAGCTGTTTTGCTGTCTCCTGCATTATATGATGGAGGTCCAAATAACATATCACATTTGTTCATCTTTATATTCCCAGTATCTAAAGCAGTGCCTAACTTCTCTTATGACTCAAATGATTATTAAACAATGAACTGAAGTAAAACTTTTCTGAAAGAGCAAATTACTTGTTTTTGGAGACATTTCTGTTTAAAATATCATTAAAGGCATGTCTGCTCTATTTTTTTTAAATCTATCTTATGAAACTGTAAAATTGTTGAACTTCACCACCACATGAGCCAAACAGCCTCTAGTAAATGAACAGTTAAAACATTAAAAACTTATTTATCTTACATTTACTCAGGAATAAATTATAAACTATTTAATTACTGTAGTTAGACGCTTTCTCTATGTCAAAAAGGCTAAAGAATTCCCTCTTGAGGGATTCCATGTTAATATCACTTATGATATTCTTTGTAAAGACAGGAAAATAACCATTCTTTATAATAATAAGGGACCTTTTAGCCTATGCTACAGAAACATAAATTCAGTATATTGTCTACTGATCTTCCCAAAACATTAATATTTGTTCATTCTAAAGATGTACGTATGTATATATAGATATATACTCTCATATATATTTTAAAAGTAGTAATGACTAACTCCATTTTCTAGACAGTGAAACAAAAGCACATCGGTTCCCTGATTTTTGATGAAAAGTTTAAGAGAATTTTGGCAAAGGGAAGAAAAAAAATCAATATTACTAGATGCAAATAGTATTTCAAAGAAATCTAGGTAAAAAGAAAACCATAATTAAACAATTTCTTTTTCTTCTTGATTATAATGCAACATGCAAATATTGCTAATTATATGAGGTTTTCTTTTAATCCTCACCTGAGGATATGTGTTTTTTAAATTGATTTTGAGAGAGAGAGAAAGACAGACTGGCAGGCAGACAGACAGACATCGATGTGAGAGAGAAACTGGTTGCCTTCTGTACATGCCCTGATCAGGGATTGAACCAGCAACCTAGGTATGTGCCCTGACTGGAAATGGAATGACAACCTTTTGGTGTACAGAATGATGCTCCAACCAACTGACCCACCCAGCCAGGGCTGAGTTTTCTTATAATAAAGTATTAAAGCCTTATATTTTTGGAAATAGATGTTTAAAACAGCTTTCATTAAAACATCTTTTCAAATTTAATATTTGAATTTATTAATCCCATTAAACATTTACACTTTACTTTGCCATTAAACATATCCAATGTGTGCACATAAATATAAACCTTACCAGTTAAAATATGCACATCACATACCTGTTTGCTTATAAATTGCTAATTCTTTTACGGTGTCCAAAAACTGCCAAAATTTGTCATTACTTTCTTCTGCCATAAATTCACTATTAAAAAATAAAAGTAATCAGTTAATAGATGAAAATAAAAAATTATTTTTATATATTCATTGATTTCAGACAGAAAAGGGAGAAAGAGAAAGCAACATCAATGATGAGAGAGGGTCATTGACTGGCTGCCTCCTGCACGACCCCTGCTGGGGATCAAGCCCAAAACCCAGGCATGTGCCCTGACTGGGAATTGAACCGAGATCTCAATCTCCTGGATCACAGGTCGATGCTCAAGTGCTGAGCCACCTCAGCCAGGCAAAAAATGATTTAGATACTATAAACTATACTTTAAAAGCAAATTATAACTATGGTAAGCCCTCCCACCCAAATTACTGATTTCTATTTATCATAATGCAGAAAGAGAACAAATTGATGATTCTTACCTGAGGTATGATTCTCAACTACCAGTACATAATCATGATCAGAATATACTGCATAAGAAAATATTTTTGGGTTTTCCTCATTATTAGCTACAACTAAAATATGGATAATTTATTTTGCTTCTCCATGTGAAGTAGCATTTATAAGTAATGAAAAAAGTGTTCTTAAAGGAAAAAGTAAAAAGAATAAAAACAAAAAGACTGCCCATTTTGCACAAAAATTGGTTTTATGAACACTTTTAAAGTCATATATAACTTTTAATTAGCTACTTGTGTAGATAATTTTTTATTATTTAAAACAGACAATACCTTAATAAAAAATTAATAGGAAGTTGATGTATTGCATTAGGTATTTGGCTTTGAAGCCCAAATAAACTTCCATTTTTGCACAGAGGGTAGGTAAGAAAAAATGGCCAAACCCATATTAAAACCTTTTGGAAATAATGAAATAAGTGAAAGGTTATTCAGTCTTGTATAAAACAAAGCATAGGACACCTGAAACAAATAGATTTAACTATTTAAACTAGAAAGGAAACAGCGACCAAACAGATGGTACAGATTCTTTGTTATTGCCCACCTTACCTTTCTTTCTCTAGCCTTGGTAAACTTAAACTAACACTTAATATAAATGGAGAGTATTTAAGACAGCAAAGACACATGCAGAGTAACTAATTCTTGTGAGTCTGAATAGAGAAGATGAGGTGAAAAAAAATGATTAATCCATCAACATAAACATGGCAAGCATAGGAATTTAAAACAATAACTTCAAAACAACTCTTGTTATTAATGATGTCCAACTCACAATGGCATTTTTAAAAAAGCAGCAGCAGCAGCTAAAAGCAGAGGAAACACTAAATAGGATGTGACCTGAAAAGGGCAGGTACGGTACAAAACCTTAAGTAACACTTCATACCTAACTGACTTGACCAAACAACTACAGACGTGCTCATATACTGTGCAACCATAGGAAAAAACGTCTTCCATATGCCAGAATTTATACATCTAAATATTATCCTTCAAAGTGACTACCTTAAGAAAATATTCATTTACAATCATTCCCTCAATATATATCACTGCTCTAAGCACTTTTGGAACTCTTCTGGAACTACTTTCAGGGACAATATGCCAGTAACTCATCATTAATCGCAGAGAAGTTAATATCCTCGAGAGCCATCTAAGTCAGCTCCTCACCTTCCAAAAGATATTACCCTTGGTCAAAGCTTAAAAAAGTGAGAAAAACACACCAAAAAACAGAAACATCTGACATTTCCAATTTGTCTTTAGCTCCAAGTAACGTTTCCACAAAAAATACTATCCAAAGACTATACAGTAATTATAAGAATTCCCAAAAAGAATTTTCACCAAGATCAACATCAATGTTATGAATAAATGCAGTTTAGACACATAAGTTTTGGTACATACATTGTAAAAATTTAGTCTCATGAGCCTATAATCATCCCTAGCAAATAGTACTAAATTATAAATTTCTTTAGGCAGAGGAAATACCTCATTCATCTTTGTTTCTGACACAGTACCTACCCATCATAGGGCCATGTTCAAAACAAGCACTCAAATATTTATGCTGAATTAAAAATATGTAATATATACATATACGCAATAGGAGAAAAATCCCAAGAATGCTTTGAATTAAAAAATTGAGCTTTCCCAACAGAAAGCTATTGCTTTTAAGTTTCTCTCCCAAGCTCCTTCAATCTACCCAATGCTCTTCCATTCTCCCTCTTACACATTTATTCCCCACAATTACTTGTTTTTCCTAAAAATTTTATTTTTATTATTTTATTTATTTATGTTTGTTTGTTTACTTTATTGTTGACACTATTACAGATGTCCCATATACTCCCCTCCTCCTGCCTTTGCTTGGAGCTGAAATACAACTGAGGTCTAAATGTTATCTCTGGGGAGGAAAGGTCAGGGGGTACAAACCGAATAGCCAGTGATATGTTAGCGGAGGAAAGGTCACCCTGGGGGCGAGGTCCCACCCTACAATTGTCCTTTTGCTAGGTACCCAGGGCTTTCTGCCCTGGTGACCTTCTGTACCTGGCCCATCCTCCTTGCTCTGTTCATGTCTATATAACTGCCTACCACACTTAAACCTATACAGCAAAAGGTTGTCTAGTCAAACATTTGGCCTTTCCACAGCATGCATTCCCCACACTGAGTTTCTTGATTTTAGTATTCTTTGCAATCTGGATAGACTAAGAACCTCCCAAATGATCAAGTGCTTTTTCTTTTTCCTTAATGGTTCCTTCTTCAATTTCTTTCCTCCTGCATTTATGATAAGCAGCAAGGAGAAACCAGATGGCAGCTTTAATACTTTGCTTGGAAATCTCTTCTGCTAACTATCCAGCTAAGATCCCTATTCCATACAACTGTAGAGTCCAATTCAGCCAGTTTTCTGTCATTATATAATAACAAGGGTCATCCTTCTTTGTTTCCAGTAACATGTCCCTCATTTCCTTCCAAGCCCTGTAAGAGTGCCTTTGATGTTCTAAGATGACAGACGCTTTATCTACTGTGTTCCTCGCTTTCTTTTAAGTCCTTAAAGAAATCACCTTTAATGTCCATATTTCTGCCAACAGTCTCCTCAAAGCAATTAGGCTTCCTTTACTACATTTCTTTAAACTCTTCCAGCTTCTGCCTAATTCAAATGCAATAAATGCCTTCTTAGGTGTTTGTTACAGCAACACTCCATTTCAAGGTTCCAAATCTGTATTAATTTCCTACAGCTGCTGTAAGAAATTACTGAAAAAGTGACTTCAAATAACAGAAACTATCTCAGAGTTCTAGGGCCAGAAGTCCAAAATCAAGGTGTTGATGGGTCAACACTGTCTAAAGGCTCTAGGGGAGAATCTTTCCTTGCCTGTGTCAGCTTCTGGAAGCTTCCAGTGCTCCTTGGTTTGTGGCTACCCAATCTTGGCTTCTGTTCACAGAGCCTTCTCCTTCTTTTGTGCCTTTTCCTCTTCTCTCTTATAAGAGCATTGAATTTAGTGCCCATCCAGATAATCCATAATGATCCTGTCTCAAAATCCTTAACTTAATCACATCTGCAGAGATCCTTTTCCCAAATAAGGTAAAATTCACAGGTTCCAGGGGTTAAAATGTGGGCATATCTTTTTGGGTGTTTCCATTCAACTCACTACAAATGATAAGGTTGTTACATCAGACTGAGACTAGATTGTGAAGAACCTTAAGGAGCATCCAACAGGAGTTCCACCTCTAAGACTCTTAGGGCAAGAAATTGGGACACAGTAACTACCAGTCTAAGACTGAAAGAAGTTCAACTGATTTGGAACTGAGTATGAGAGCAGATCCATGTAAGCTCTGGGAAAAATTGGGGAAAATATAGAAAAAGGGGACACGTTATAACCTAGAATAATTTTTTCAATAAAACTTTTATTACAACTAATACCACAGAAATACAAAGGATCATAAGATATTACTATAGCCCAGCTGGCGTGGCTCAGTGGTGGAGCAGTGACCTATGACCCAGGAGATCAAAGTTCGATTCCTGGTCAGGGAACATACTCGGGTTGCAAGCTGGATCCCCAGTGGGGGATGTGCAGGAGGCAGGTGACCAATGACTCTCTCATCATTGATGTTTCTATCTCTCTCTTCCCCTCTCCTTTTCTCTCTCTGAAATCAATAGATATGTATTTTTAAAAACAGTACTACTATAAACACTATATGCCAACAAACTGGACAATCTACAAGAAATGGATAAGTCCCTAAAAACATACAACCTACCAAGACTAAATCAGGAAGGAACAGAAAATCTGAATAGACTGATAACTAGTAAGAAGATTGAATCAGTAATCAAAAACCTCCCAACAAACAAGTCAGGAACCAGAGAGCTTCACTGGTGAATTCTACCAAATATTTGAAGAATTAATACTAGTCCTTCCTAAACAGAAGAGGAAGGAACACTCCTAAGCTCATTTTACAAGGTTAGCATTACCCTCATACCAAAACCAGACAAGGACACCCCAAGAAAATTACAGACCAATATTCCTGATAAAATAGTTGCCAAAACCCTCAGCAAAATATTAGCAAATTGAATTCAACAACACATTAAAAGGGTCATACACCATGATCAAGTGAAATTTATTCCAGGGATGGAAGGATGGTTCAACATCCGCCAATCAATACAATAAACCACACTAACAAAATGAAAGATAAAAATCCTATGATCATCTCAATAGATGCATAAAAAGCAGGTGACAAAAATCAACACCCATTTGTGATAAATACTCTCAACAAGGTGAGTAGAGAGGGAACATATCTCAACATAATTAAGGCCATATATGACAAGCCCACAGCTAAGATCATACTCAATGGTGAAAAGCTAAAAGCTTCTCCTTTAAGACCAGGAACAAGAAAAAAAAAATGCCCACTCTTGCAACTTTTAGTCAACATAGTATTGGAAGACCTCGCCAGAGCAATTAGGTCAAAGAATAAAATAAAATGCATCAAAATTGGAAAGGAAGCCTGGCCGGGTGTGGCTCAGCGGTTGAGCATCCACCCAGGATCCAGGAGATCGGGGTTCGATTTCCAGTCAGGGCACATGCCCGGATTGCGGGCTAGGCAGCCAATCAATGGCTCTCTCTCTCCCCCCCCCCCTTTCCTCTCTCTGAAGTCAATAAGGATATGTTAAAAAAAAAAAAATTGGAAAGGAAGAAATAAAATTGTCACTCTTTGCAGACGACATGATATTATACATGGAAAATCCAAAAGACTCCACACAAAAAACTGTTAGAACTAATAACACAATTCGGTTAAGCTGCAGAGAACTAATAACACAATTTGGTTAAGCAGCAGGAGACAAAGATCAATATATAAAAACCTGTAGCATTTCTATACACTAATAACAAGCCACTAGAAAGAGAAATTGAGAAAACCACCTCATTAATCATTGCATCAAAAAGAATAAAATACCTAGAAATAAATTTAACCAAGGAGGTGAAAAGCTTGTGCCCTAAGAAGTATAAAATATTGATGAAAGAAACTGATGACCCACAAAAAGATGGAAAGATAGTCTGTGTTCATGAATTGGAAGAATTAATATTGTTAAAGTGTTCATATAACACAATGCAACCTACAAATTCAATGCAATCTCTATCAAAATTCCAATGGCACTTTTCACAAAAATATACCAATCCTAAAATTTGTATGGAACTACAAAAGACTGAATAATCAAAGCAATCTTGAGAAAGAGGAACAAAGCCGGAGGTATCATGCTTCCTGATTTCAAACTATATTACAAAGCTATAATAATCTAAAACAGTATGATATTGATATAGACACAAAAATCATTGGAACAAAATAGAGACCATAAATAAACCCACACATACAGAGGGGTGGGCAAAACAATTGTGAGTATGCAAAACAGGTTATTATTGTATTATTATTGTATTATTTATTTGTATTACTACTGTAAATCTAGTTTTGCCCATCCCTGTATGGTGAGCTAACTTATAACAAAAGAGCCAAGTATATATACAGGGGAAAGGACAGTCTCTTCAATAAATGGTGTTGGAACTGGACAGCCACACACAAAAGAATGAAACTGGATCACTGTTTAGCACCATACACAAAAATTAACTCAAAATGGATTAAAGACTTGAACATAAGACCTGAAACCATAAAACTCCTAGAAAAAAAAACATGAGCAGAAGGCTCCTTAACATTGGTCTTGGTGATATTTTTTGGATTTGATACTAAAAGCAAAAGCAACAAAAGCAAAAATAAACAAGTATGACAACATCGAACTAAAAAGCTTCTACACAGCAAGGGAAATAATCAACAAACTGAAAAGGCAACCTTCCAAATGGGAGAAAATTTTTGCAAATCATGTATGTGATAAGGGGTTAGTATCTCAAATATGTAAATAATTCATACAACGCAACATAAAAAAACATGCAAGCAATTCGATTAAAAAGTGGTCAGGGGATCTGAGAGACATTTTTCCAAAGACATACAGATGGCCAACAGGGACATGAAAAGGTGCTCAACATCACTAATATCAGGAAAATGCAAATCAAAACCACAATGATATAGCACCTCACACCTGTTATAAAATGGCAATCATCAAAAAGACAAAAGATAAATACTGGCAAGGAGGTGGAGAAAAAAGAACCCTTGTACAAGGTTGGTGGGAATGTAAATTGGTGCAGCCACTATGGAAAAAGAGTATGGAGGTTCCTCAAAAAATGAAAACTTACCATGAGAATACAGTAAGTCCACTTCTGGGTATCCAAAGGAAACAAAAATACTAACTCAAAGATATATGCACCCCTATATTCATTGCAGCATTATTTACAATAGCTAACTGTCCATAGGTGAATGAATGGATAAAAAGATTGTGCCATATACACACACACTGAAAAATTATTCAGCAGTTTAAAAAAGGAAATTCTGCTATTTGGGACGACATGGATGGACCTTTAGGACATTTTGCTAAGCGAAGTCAGACAGAGAAAGACAAATACTGTATGATCTCATTTATGTGTGGAATTCCCCCTCCCCCAAATAGAGAACAGATTGGGGGGCCAGGTGAGTGAAATGGGTGAAGTTGGTCAAAAGGTACAAACTTTCAGTTATAAAATAATTCAAGGGATGCAATGTACAGCATGGTGACTACAGTTAATACTGCACTTCATATCTGAAAATTGCTAAGAGATCTTAAAAGTTCTCGTCATAAGAAAAAAAAATTTGTAACTATGGTGACATGTAACTAAACTTACTGTGATCACAATACAAATAGTAAATCATTATGTCGGACACCTGAAACTAATATAATGTCACATGTCAATTATACCTCAATTAAAAAGAACTGTGTTAGTATCTCACATATGCACTGTAATGTGAGGTGATGGAGTCCCTTTTCAGTACCATAAACTTGCTTTGGTGAAATGACAAAAGCAAGTGGCATTAAAACTTCATGCTGGCTAAAGAACTTTTAAATTCTGTAGACTGGAATACTAAGAGCAAAATTTAATAGCAACAAGTTTTGCTTCTGCACAGTAAGTGATACCTTATGAACTAATTCCAGGGGAGAAGATAACGTGGGCAGCTGTCTCGGGCACAGGAAGCCTTCCGAGGTGCCGCCGAGTACGGTTTCACGAGAACTGCCCACATTGACTGAAGTGCTTGCAGTAAACGCCACACTCTACCACCCATTCTTCCTTTTCTTTTCTTTCGTAAGTGTTAATAAATTCCAAACGAATTAAACAAAAGTCCCGAAGTTTTACAAACCGCGGGCGAGGCAAAGTATGAACCGCGGGGGAACGGACTTGCGGAGCGCCGCGCACGGCGCGGCAGGGGCGGAGGTGATGCTCCGAGGGT